ATCTAATTTAATAATACGAGATTATCAGTTTTTTGTGTTGCGAGCACACTGATTTTCTTTTTTTTTTTTTGTTTTTTTTTTCAATTCCAGTATATTATTTTAGCTAATAAAATTCCTATCACACTTCTTCACCCCACCTTCACTCAAAAAATTTCATGTTCAATTTGAATTGTTCAAGTTAGATTTCGGCAAGGTTGCAGAAGACCGATAGAAAAATTGACTATTTGAGCATTGTTTCGTATCACAAACAAATTTCGGGTAGTTCAACGTAACTAAATACGTGGGAGCCTTGTCGACCTGCTTGGTTGCTGTTCTGAATTCGATTCCGATTAAAGAGAGGTATCAGAAGGGTAGAACCACTAGCGGAACGGTTGGAAGAATAATTCATGAGACATAGACGCTTGTCTATTGGGTCACATAAATTTCTAGTGACAATATAGTTTTTTACTTATAATGTTCTTCGCTGGGTTTCGCTGAAGCCTCGGTGTAAATCTCCTAAGAGCAAGTACCAACTGAGTCGAGAATTGACTTAAGCGAGCAAATGCGATCACGCTCATTTTTCGAAATCGCCCGCAATTATACATATATTTTTCGTTATCACACCATCGTCATCCCGCTCATTTCATCCATTTCGTCAGACACAAGTGCTTCGCTCCATCCTTTCGAGATACATATATTTTATCGCCTTTTAGTTAGATTTAAATTCTGCAATTTATCTTTTCAGTCCTTCGATTGCATTAACTCATTACACTTTTTCTAATTAAATATATGATATTCGCATATTCCCTGAGTTCGACCCGGAAACTCACCGGTTAAAGAAATTTTTTATTTTGACAAAATTATTGGAGTTACTACACGAACACGTACGACACTATTTTTATTTTATACATATATCATTTTTGTATTTTAAAAGATAAAGATATTTTTAAAACCTCCAAATAATCCTCGATCACTTATATTTTCTCTCTGCCACATAATGCTATATTAGTTTAAGAACACATTAAAAACTTACGTTGTTCAGAACTTTTCTTAAAATATTTTCGTTCTTCCACATCAATAAATTTATTATTTTAAATAAAGTTCTTTTTTTATATTATAAGATAACTTTTACTTTTTTTTATACTATATTTTGATATAATAATTTATATTCATTTATGAAAATGAAAAAAAAATAAATGAACAGATACACAATGGCAAAGAGAATATTATTATATTTTAAAATAAGATTAATAAAATATATAAATTCACTATGTAAAATATATAAGGGTGTGTTTGTTTGAAGGATTTGTGAAGATTTTCACTGTTCACTCCATTTTTTTCCCCCAAAAATATCAAAATAAACACCTATTATTTATTTTCTATATTATACTAAAAATCAATTTTACATTCAAAATATCACATCAACACCTATTTATATCACATCATACAACTATTCAAATTCAAAATTTTTACTATTTAAATCCCAACTTAAAATTCAAACCTCCAAACAAACACACCCTAAACAAATTTAATTAATTTATAATATAATACACAATATTAGTTAATTAAAAATATAAATAATAGATAAAATATAAAATATATAAATTCACTATGTAAAATTTATTTAAAAAATTTAATTAATTTATAATATAATACACAATATTAGTTAATTAAAAATATAAATAATAAATAAAATACAAATATAATCTATATTAATAATTATATATTTATTTAAAAAAATAAAACAAAACACTTTCTCTCTCCTTCCCATAAAAGAGGGAGAATGTTTTTAGTCCGTTCCTCTGTCAAGAATGGTTTCAGCAATATTGTTTTTTTTTTAAACAAAAAAAAAATTTGTCACCTCACAATATGGTGGTTCTTATACCACGCGTTGCACATGGTCTTAAAATACTGTAGAAGACGAATGATTTGGCAGTGGATTGGATTTTAAATTCACTGCTAGGGATGGCAACGGGTTGAGTTTGGATCGGGTCTGTCCAGACTTAAAATCCGATCCGAAAAAATATAAATGAACTGAATATTCGGACTAGATCCGATTGGACCTGGACCTAATTGGACTCGGATTTGATCCGAAACTATCCGATTGGATTCGACAGACTCGATAGTTTCATAATTTTAAATATAAACAGGACTCGGACCCGGACCTAGACCCGCCTAAACAATTATAAAAAAAAAAATAACAACAAATAATAAGCAACAACGGTGCTTAATGATGGAAAATTGAATTGGAGAATGGATCAGAAGAGGGAAGAAATCGACCAATAACTTGTTGCCGTAATGGTGTCTTGCCTGTGTACGTGAGGAGGGGCTGTCGTGAGAATAAAAGAAGGGAAGGGCTGCGTGAGGAAAAAAAGAGGGGAGGAGGCTGTGCTGCTGGGTTTTACGAGGGAAAATACAATATAATTCAATTTTTTTTAATGAAATGGTGGGTCGGGTCCGGATCCAGGTATGGGTCAGGTCCATGCTCGGACCCTGGACCTGACCCGACCCTTAAATTTTTTTTTTTTAATCCAGACCCAGACTCAGATCCGACCCTAGACCCAAATATTTGGACTCGACCCCAAATAAATGGGTCGGGTTCGGGTCGGGTCTCGGGTCTACCGAATCCATTGCCATCCCTATTCACTGTTCATTCCATTTTTTCTTCAAAAAATATTAAATTAAACATCTATTTTTATTTTTTTATATTAAACTAAAAATCAATTTTATATTTAAAATATCAAATCAACTTCTATTTATATCACATTATATAACTATTTAAATTTAAAATTTTTACTATTCAAATCCCAACTCAAAATCCAAACTCCCAAACAAACACACCTACCACCGAAAATAAATGTCAGTAGATGATAATCCATGTTATATGGATGAGTACTAATGACGAAATTCACTTGCCGGGCTTTGTCATTTAAAACATTTTTAAATAATGGACATCGATAAAAAATGTTAATGTCATTACATTTAAAAAGAATAAATTATTGAAATAATTATTAAAAATAATTAGAAGTTTTTTATTTTATTTTATTTAAAAAATTTAAATTTGTGTATTGTAATTTATGTTTTGTAATGGAGCTATCTATTATGTTTTTCATTAAATAGTATTTTGTGCTTATTTTATTATTAATAGAATATTTAAATTTATTTCTAATTAATGTGTATTTTCTATATAAATTATTTAATAAAAATATTTAAATATAAAATAAAATAAAATAATTATAAAATATTTTCTCTGTTGCCTCTAATGATTCCATTTACTTTCTGCGTCATTGTATTTAACAGTAAAAAATATTTTTATATTTGTATAATTTTTTGTACAAATGTCTTTTATTAGTATTATAAGACATTAATATAAATATTTTTGTAATTTTTTCTTAATTTGTATTACACATTGATATAATAATTAATATTCAAATATCAACATACTATTCTATAAAATAATTTTTTTTTTATATTTTGATATTTTTTTTATATTTAATTTATATATATTAAATACTAAAAATATAATTATATTATATAAGCTATAAAATATATTATAAATATATACCTTCTCCCTCATTCTTGTCGAAGAAAGAAAGAATTATTCCGTTCTTTCGACAGCAATTTTCAATTGTGATTTAAAAAAAATAAATATATAAAATATTTTATACAAAAATCAAAATAATTATTAAAAAAAATTAAATATTTAACTTAAATTAATATAGGATAAACTGTTTTTTTTGTCCCGTAACTGACCCCTTATCATTTTAGTCCGGTAGGTGGAGCATGTCGCAAACTAGTCCCATAAGTGAAAAATTGTCGTTGTTTTAGTCCTCCGGCGCCGAAGATGCCCGCGTGGCTCGCCGGAGATGACGTGTCCGCCAGGTGTCGCTGACCTGGCGGACACGTGGATTTTTTTATTTATTTTTTTCATTTTTTATTTTTTTTTAAAACTTATTTTTAATTTATTTTAAAATTTATTTGTATTTTTTTATTTTTTTATTTGGTCCAATTAAAAAAAATTTAAAAAATTTAAAAAAAATGAAAAAAAAAATAAATCCACGTGTCCGCCAAGTGTCGCTGACCTGGCGGAACACCTGGTGGATACGTCACCTCCGGCGAGCCACGCAAGCATCTTCGGCGCCGGAGGACTAAAACAGCAAAATTTTTTCACTTATGAGACTAATTTGCGACAGATTCCACTTACCGGACTAAAATGATAAAGGAGTCCAATTACGGGAAAAAAAAACAGTTTACCCAAATAATTTATTTTATATTTTTTACCCAATGAAAATCATGCGTGAACCTTCTACACTATTCTTGCAGCATTCTTGCTATGGAATGTAATCAACTTCTTGTTTTAGTTTTTCATTTTATTTTCAAGTGTGACTCAGTTTTCTAAAGAAGGTAAGAACGTGTGATGAATTTGCTCTAAGGTTTGGTAAAAATAGAACAACTCGTGGAATTTGACTTTTGATTTTATTATTTTAATTTTTTTTTTTAAATATCAAATTAAAAAATATTTTTATTTATTATATTATACTAAAATATAATTTTTTACATTCAATATATCATATCAATATATATTTATATCACATTAAACAACTATTTCATTTAAAATTTGACTATTCAAAACCAAAACTCAAAATCAAAATTTCACAAATAAATACACCCATAATTTTTTTTAATATTGCAATTATTATTTAAATAAAAAATTAACTTTTAAAAAAGCACATCTCAATAAAATTTTATATTTTAATTTTAAATTTTATTTTGATATTTTTATTTAATCTTTTAAAAAATACTAATATTATAAAAATTACATACTTAAAAAATAAAATAAAATCAATCATCAAATAAATAGAGCCATAGCCTTTATTTCCATAAGTATCACACCCCAAAGGTTCAAAATAATATATGCAAATAATCAAGGGGCAAAAGTCAAATCTACTTAAAATATAACACTTGCTTTATAAATTTAACATGTCAAAGTCAAGCGGCGGAAAGTTTATTTATTCATAATTAAATAACAGTTCTAAAGCTGCAGCCGGTAATCTAGAGTAGGCCGTTGTCACCTTTTCGGCTTTGCCCCTTTCCTCTCGATTGATCATATATTTGATGTCGATTCTCGTTGTTTTTTACTGACCTAATCCAGAAGTTGGCTGATCTCAATTACCGGAGACAAGGTACAGTTATAATATTGGTTTTACTTTCCTTCTTTGCTTTATGCATCTGATCTGGAGATACTTCTACTCGGTGAACGATTTGATTTTGAATATTCTGTTTATTGTAGTTGAACTTTGAGAGATCTCGTTTCAGAATCACAGATTTGATTTTGTTCTTATCGCATGTACGTAAGTAGTGTTTGTTGATTTATTTATCATTATTTTATGTTTTTTAGGTTGGGATTCGCATTTTGGTATAAACTGGGGAGATTCAAGAATTTAATTTCTGTATATTGAATTTGTTAAACGAGGAAGATGATACAACAAACACCATATAAAATGCTAAACGAAAAAGGATTCTAATCCTAACAACTTCTAACAACCCACTGGGTGGACCAAAGAAACACCCAAGCGAAACAAAATAAAATTAGAACAAAAGGGCCTAAGGGACATTGTTGTTCTTAGCGCATATGCTTCTCTGAATCTGAGGCGCCATCTTTGCATCTTCCATAACTTGACAGCTCTTTCACCACCCCCCCCCCCTCCCGACTGTCCAAAGCCTGGTATGACGGTGGTTTAACAATGGTTCTGTAGGTAACGTGGAGTTTCCTCTATACATGATTCAATGTGATGAGTAGAAAATTGCATTGTACTAAGTGACATTCTATTTCAATGTGCTTTGTTTTCTCATGAAATTTCTTCCTGATTTCTTGCAATGTGAATGGCTGATTGGTTATCACAGTGAAGATTAATTGGCAGTGAGACAGTCACCTTCAAGCCATTGAGGATGCAGGAAATCTAAAGAAGTTCAAATGTTGCTTGGCTTCAGTTGAAGAGATGCTCATGGTTGACTATTTCTTTGCTTTCTAAGAGATGAGATTGGGTCCAATGAATATGCAAGTAACCAGTTATAGATGTCCGAGAGTCAGGGCAAGTGCCACAATCCGCATTGTAGTAAGGCTCCAACTGAAGTGAGGAAAATCTGCATCAAACACACGACCATGATTAATTGTTAAGAGATGAAGAGCAACTTTCCGATATGATGATGTATGCCTGTCCATGAATTGACTTACCTATGTCTTGCAAATGCAACATCAGGTATGGAAAAGTTCAAATATAGTAATCTTCCTACAAGCTTGCGGTACTGAGATGGCTCAGTGAGTTTATCACTATCTTCCATGAATAACTTCAATCGAGCTGGCAAAGGAGTGGACACTGAATTTGCATCTAGCATTTTCATGTCCTTCAATATATCAAATATGTATTATCTTTGAGATAAGACTAAACCATTCTTTTGATGTTTGAGCTCTATGCCAAGAAAAAAACTTGCCTCTCCCAAATCCTTAATAGTAAAAGTCTTATGTAGAAAAATTTTCCCTCGCCCCTGGTTTCTTGTGGTAGCCTGGTGGAGTTTTGAGAAACAGTTTTTCTTCTAATGTATCATGAAGAAATACATATTTAACATCTACTTGTTGAATAATCTATCCTTTTGAGATAGCTATGGCTAACAAAAGCCTTACCGTGACACTTTTAGTCACAGGTGCATAACAATCATCATAATCAACCCCATGTACTTGCAACTAACCTTTTGCCACCAATTTTGCCTTGAATCTATTTATAGAACCCTCCTTATTCCTTTTATTCTGAACATCCATTTACCACCCCCCTTGCTTTCATGCTTCACAAGGATAGGCTAATTCGTAGTCTCATTAGCCTCTAATGTCTTTATCTCTTCATTCATAGCTTCTATCCGTTCTTGTTTTTTAGCTTCCTCTTGAGTAAGTGCAAGGCTATTGCGCTACATTTTCAAGTGTGCCATATGCACTCACATTAATCTTTCATCCAACATGGCTAAGTATACTATCTTCAACCAGTTTTTTAACAGATCCAGAGATGATATCCTTGGATGAAATGGAGGATTCTAGGACAGAAAAAGATTATGAGGTACCTTTATGTGTCTTTTTCTCCACAGTTGGAGCAGTGGTAGAACTGCAAGTCCCGAAGATTCATTCTTTTTACTTGATCATCTTCAAATAGCCTCGTTGGGCTAGAAAACACATAGGTTTGCTGTAGATTACATGAGATGCTGAGTGATATGTTAAGTCTGGAAATATATCTTCATAAAAGACAACAACCCTTGTGATTAGGATTTTGTTCGACTCAAGATCAAACACCTTATATGCCTTTGTGCCTATCCTAAAAAGACGCCTTAACAACTTTTTTTCTTTTTTTCTCAAACTTGGACTATGAAGGATCAGTATTTGATGCATAACATAAACATTCAAATACTCTTACATATTCCAAGTTAGGAGCGAACCCATGGAGTACCTGATAAGCTAAATTCCAATTGCTGAGGGGAGTAGGAAGCAAATTTATGACGTAGATTGCCACAAGAAGAGCTTCTCCCCAAAATGTAAGCGAAAGCCCTGAGTGAAATAGCAGGGGCCTCAATCACTTTCAAGAATTTTTGGTGTTTTCTCTAACTCTTCTATTCTATCGTGGCCCATAGGGTCAAGACCTCTGATGTAAAATTCCATTTTCATGCATCAAATTCTGGAAGCTATGGCTCAAGAACTCTACCTCATTGTCTTTCCTTATATTAACCTTGGTTTTATATTGTGTTTGCACAAGTCTAATAAAGATAAAAAAGTATAATAAAGGTACTTATACTGTGGTCATCTACAATTATTAAGAAATATTTGCTACCATGTTGATGTCTGACTATAAGGACCTCATATATCAACATGAATCAAAGCACGCATAATGAATTTTGGTAATTGCTTAAAGGGACATAGCCAAGTACCTTAGCTCCTCCTTCATTTTATTTTTTTTTCATTTTTGTGAAGTAGGTGGCCAAGTTCAGCCCACCTTGAGATAAGTCACAGATTTCCCTTTGAAGTCGGTAGATAAGAGGCCTATTGCACTGGACGAATCTCTCTTTGAGCAATTCGCACAATTCATGACTGGTGCTCACACACCCAAAGGCATCAGTCAAGTGGGGTGCGATTGAGTAGAGAATCCATTGTAGTATCATGTTGTTAGTATTTCTCCAAACAATGGCTGAACTGCATAATTTCCTTTTGCAATCAAAGCAGGGATAATGCCCCTGCTCCACAACAGGTAGTTAGTATCATTGAGTGAGTAATAATTAAGCTCATACCAGGTTGGTCAGATGGATGTAGCTCAAGTGTGCCATCGTTAAAATGGGATGGTGAAAAGATTGAGGATTAAAGATGATATGTGAAGGATGGTTAAAAGAAGACTTAATGAAAAAAAGTATTAGAGTGGTGGAGGAGGATTGGAAAAGGGTCACAGTCTCACAGATTATCACACAAACAATAACCCTTGCCTTTCTTTTCCTGCTTTGTTTATTTTATTTTCCTGCAAGTTACTTTGTTCATCTAATTGCATGCATTTTATTTATGTAATTTGCCTCTATTCCCTCTAATTTGTCTTCCTTTTTACTTTATTTTTGTTGTTTTCATTTGATTTCATGTATTCGATCTAATATTCACTAAACCAAGCTCAGAGGCTTCCTTTATTTTGACATGGGTGGACCATCTGTATTTGGCCCCTTCATTTTGGAAATTTGACAGTCCTACTGTGAATAAGGGATTGAAGCCTTTTTGCTTTACTGTAACTTTGTTTATTTTCTCTATTAATCTTATTTCCGTTGGATTTCATGTCAATGTTTCCTGATGAGCGAGTATTTTCTACCATATTCATGGTTTCATATGCTTGTTTACTACATGATTTTCTTAACTTATCTCCACATGTGAAAGATCAAAGTAAAGTGTGAAAAAATAGCAAAATTTCTCTTTGATATTCTGCTTTTCATCATTTGCAAAGAAGAACACTTGTATTATATGGTTCTTGTAGCATTTAGATATTATCAAAGACCTTATATTAGCCAGTGTTTTATTGTTATTCGTTGAAGACAGGATTCTTATTACTCTTATAGTCTGCAGGCATTTATCTGATCAGGTACAGTGAAGAGATTGATTAATGAGTGAAACTTCCTTTTTGCAGTCATGCTTAAAGCTCCTGATAATCAGGTTGCAGGGCATCAAGCTCGTAATGGAAATCTAGGACCACTAATTGATGATTCAGGCCGTTTCTATAAGCCTCTTCAGGGAGATGAGCGCGGTTCTAAAGAAGTTGCTTTCTACACTTCCTTCTCCTCGAATACTAAAGTTCCAGATCACATTGCCCGATTCTTCCCCAAGTTCCACGGCACTCAGCTTCTCGAGGCATCTGATGGATCCGGCATGCTTCCTCATCTTGTTTTACAGGATCTTACTTTTGGCCGGGTCAATCCATCTATTGCAGACATTAAAATCGGTGCAATGACTTGGGCACCACAAGCACCGGAGGACTACATCCAGAAGTGTATGAAAAAAGATCGAGAAACTACAAGCCTTGTGTTTGGATTTAGGCTGTCTGGGATGCAAGTCTTTGAGAGCAAAGAGTCGGGATTTTGGAGGCCAGAGGGGAGGAGAAAGATTCAAACACTATCACTGGATTGCATGAAATTGTATCTGAAGAAGTTTGTCTCTTCCAACACGTCCAAGATGTCGTTGGATCTGAAACCTGATTGTGCTTTTGCATCAACTGTATATGGTGGCTCGAATGGCATCTTATCTCAATTACTGGAGCTGAAAGCATGGTTTGAGGATCAAACTATTTATCATTTCTATTCTTGCTCCATTCTGATGATGTTTGAAAAAGAGCTTGCATTGACCGGCAAAAATCCCCGCCCGGAGATCAGGCTTGTTGACTTTGCTCATGTTTACGAAGGCAATGGCATCATTGATCATAACTTCTTAGGTGGACTTTGCTCTTTAATAAAGTTCACCTCCGAGATCTTGACTACCCCGGAAGAATCTTATGGCGATGGTTTGATGACGGGAGATGCTCGAACATCCCATACTTATTCTGAAAATAAAAATGGCCGGGTTTGAAATTTGAATTCGCCGATGCATCATCAAGGTTCGGAAGCTACCCGAAAATGGTTTATGATCAGCATCTTGAATGCTTTTTAAGGTATGAACTCTCTTCCAACTCTTCTCCATGAATGTTCCTGTTGATGTCGTTAAAATTTAGTTTGTTGGAGCTAAATGGTAATTGCTTTGCAAAATTTTGAGCTTTATGGATTATGATGTATTTACATGGTCGAGATCCTTAATTTCACCAATGCGTTATTCATATTTAGAGGTGGCATATGGGGCCGCCGGTTTTTTTTTTTTTTAACTAAATTTTATGAGAATTGAATTTGTGACATAATATTAGCATATTTTTTAATTTTTAATATAAATTTATTTGTTAGCATATTTATAAAATTATTCTTTAAAATTATATTTAATTTATAAATAGAGTCGGGTCAGACATAACTAGGATGCGTTTGGCAATTAACTGATAGCTTTTAGCTGTTAGCTTATTCTGGTTTGACCAGATAGCTTATTCTGGTTTGACCAGATAGATTTAATTAGTGGTTTGTATTAATCTGTTCGGTAAAACGACATTAGCTTTTTGTACATAAAATAAAATGACTAGGACATTGATATGTTATTTTTTAAAATATCTAATTCTGTTCATTGGTTTGAAATTTATGAGAATTTTTGTTGTTAATTATTGAAAATTATAAAAATATTATAAAATATTTATTTTTATTTTTTTATTGAAATTACGTAAAATATAAAATAATACATCTTTCATGTTAATTATTGTTTTAATATATATACATAAATTAATAACCTTTGTTTTTTCTATTTGATTTAGTTTTAAAAATTTATATATTTTACAAATAAAATAATTTATATGTAATAATTAATAATTATTATTATTTTAAATTTACAAAAATAAAAATATAATTTAATAAATTAAATATATTAAAAATAATTAATAAATACTACTATAAAAATATTTTTATATGTATAAAATAAATAATTAAGTTTTTAAGGATAAATAAAAAATACGTGAAATTAAAATGAAAAAGTTCTTTTAAAACGGCTAACAGATGAAATTTTTAAAAATTAGTTTTTTTTTTGTCAAAAAGCTCTTTAAAAAGTTAATTTATCAAATCAGCTGTTTCCGAAACACTCTTGTCAAAATTGCATAAATCAATTAATCAAAATATTCAATTAAAACTCAAAATTTTCTGACAAGTTCATAATCCAAGAATTCAATCTAATTTCACAGTAGAATAGAAATTTAACAGCTAAACATTGTTGAGAATCGAAAACAATTAAATTTTACTCTTGGATGATCTTTTTATTTTCTTACTCTCTCCCTTGATAAAACACGTGCTGCCCTCTTGGATTTGGGCTTGGATTATCTTTATTTTTACTCCACTAAATTTTCCATATACCCTTCGATCTTGATTTATCCAAACTTTTCAATAAGGCACGACTCGCTTCATACTTGCGTCGGACATGCACATTTTATATTTTATCACGTCTATTTTTGTTTAGATCCAATCACAATTTTTTCGTGATTTTCAAACTATGTTTATTTTTACCAGCTTTATTAATATATTTACCTAACGGTAAATGTTTCGACTAAATGGGTTTATTATTTTTGATATTATTATTATTATTGAAGTTTCGCTTTGGAATGGTTTGTTTTGTAGCATTTTTTTATTTTTTTTTTTTCCAATTGTCTTTACTTTTTATTTGTAATAATTTTTTTTCCTTTTAATATATCACTGTCATACATCTATATATTTTTTTTCATTTAATGTGTTGCATACAAAAATTATCTTTATTTACAATATTATATCAAATAATTAATTTAATTTAAAATTTTTATTATTTTAAAACAACCAAAAGTCAGTCAAAACACAAGTTTTGACATTTTTGAAAAATAATAAAAATTTGATCATTAATACATATTTATATCTATAAATAAAATTTTAATTTTACTTACATTTCTTTAATTTGGCAATACACTCGCAGTAATAGTCAATCTAAGGGCATCTCCAACCCAAAAATACATCAAAAGACAAGTTTTGATATTTTTTTTAATGACGCTGGGTTGATGGATTTGAGTAACCGACGTCAAATCCTGCACCATTTTTTGGGTTGTTACAGTGCAACACCAAAAAATGACGTATCTTTCTTTTCTTTTCTTTTTTTTTTTAATTTAATTTTTTATTTTTCTATAGTTTGACATAATTTTTTTATAAATTATAAATATAAAAAAATCGTTTAAAATAATAGAAAAAATTAGATATTTTGAAGAATAATTTTATTATTTATATAAAAGACTAGATAGCTTTATCATTAGGCAGGGATAGCTCAGTTGGGAGAGCATCAGAAGGTCACGTGTTCGATCTATGTTCACCGCATGTAATTTTTTTCAATTTTTTTTTTTTATTATTTTTTTTTTCTCTTAATTTGCAATCCAAACGAATTTAACTAATCCAACACAAAATAGCTCCATTTTATATATATATATATATATATATTATTTTTTGCAATAAAAGAATTTGGTTTTCTTTCAATTACTGTATTTAATAACCCAAACAAATTCAACTAATCTAATATAAAATAGATCCCAAAAATATGAAATCAATGAGAAACAATACTTGAAAATCCAAAAGGAAAATCAAATAAAAATATAAAGTTACATAGAAAGTCGAAAACGAAGAAGAAGGTGACAATGTGGATGAAGAAGATGGACAATGAATGACAACAATTGAATTTTTCTTTTGATTACAAATTTTAAATAACATAACAACGTTATATAGCATTTTAATTTTTTTTACTAATATAATTTAATTTAAAATTAAATAAAAAATTATTAATTATAATTATAAAACTAAGTCGGATGTATCTTTCGGGTTATTTGGTGATCTGATTTCTATATTTGGAGTATTATGTTTTAAAAACTCCAACTTGATCTTACTTGAATGTTTTTCGATTTCAAGTTTAAATTGATTTAATTTTGTGAAAAACCTAAAACATCTAAATCCGAATATAAAAAACATGTTGAACTCAATTTATATTAATATTTTTAGAGAAATATATTGAGTATTTTTTTTTTTTTCAAAAAAAAAAAACACTCCCCTAAAACTTAAGAAAAACATTCATATTTTAGTACATATTTAAAAGCCTAGTTAGATTTGTTAATTGTACTCCCTCATTTTCATTGCAACATTAATTTGCTTTTCAGCACAAAAATTTAGGTGTGTAATATTAATAGTATAATTTAAAAATTAAATAATGTAATAAAAATATATTTATTTTTTTTATTTGAGTAATATAATATAATAAAATGTGATGTATATAATTAATTATTTTTTATTTTAAAAAGATTACATATATGTGAGACAAAAAAAAAAAAAAAAAAGGTTATTGCAAAGTATATAGGAAGGATAGAGTACTAAACTGCTTATTCTTTCTTCTTCTTATGTTTATATTTATGTTTTTTCGGTTTTTTTTTTTTTTTAATATAAAAACATTTATGGGCCAAAAAAAAAAAGAGATAAATTCCCATATTTTTATATTCAAATTTCTTAAATTAATATTCTCTATGCCTAATAATAGTGAATACGTTTTCTATTTGTAGTAAAAATATCAATTTAAAGTATAATTAACAAATATTTCCTCCTCCCACTTATACAATATAAATATTTTTATTTTTGATTGTGTGATTACAGAGTAATTATTTTTTTTTTAAGTAACTATAGACTATTTTTTTTCTACAAATATATTTATTTTACTGTCACATTATTAGAAAAAGGAACAAAATTATTTTTACACTACTTTTAACTACTTATTACAATTAAAATACTATTATTTTTTAAACTTCACCCCAGAAGTAATATGTACTTTTAAAATTGACAATGAAAATACAATATAACTTAATTAAGTTCATAATATATTACATCATCTAAGATTCATATATTGAAAATTTTACATTTTTATAAAATATATATATATCAATTATAAATAAATATATACTCTCTTTGTCTCAACTCAATTGATCCATTTGATTAGAGATACAGTATTTAAGATAATAATATTTAATTAGTTATTAATAGTGAGTTTTAATATTATTTTATTATTTGTATAGGATTAATAATAGTGATAGTTTTAAAATAAATTTAATATATATGATTAAAAAAATTAGAATAGGTATTTAAATATTTTAAACATTATATCGCAATAAAAAATACATGCAATATGGATTTTATTTTATAAAGAATAAAATTTTCTATAATACAAGTTAATAAAAAAATACGTTTATTTTTCTATAATTAAGATAAACTAATTTTGTAAGAGATGTGAAGTTTTAAATGTAGATAAAAATATTTATTTTTTTAGGAGAAAAAAAATAAATGGGTTTGAGTGGGTCTTACATGATGTATCATACTCCATTTATTTCATAACTATGTATTAATTTAATTTTTTTATGTTGAACTTTAGATATTAATATTATAATCATACCTAGTACAAAATAAGAGAAGAAAATAAAAATATGTTTATTAGTATCCTGTAATAAAAATATAATAACATTTGTATAAAATATTATACAAATATAAGAATATTTTTAATGTTAAGTACGATGACACAAAAAGACAAATGGATATCTTGTCAAGAGATATATATTATGCAGTTAATTAAGTTGATTTATATTTGTTAAATATGTTTTGATTTAGTAAGTTTTATCCAAAATAAATAGGTGTCAATTTTTATGAGAGAAAAAAATAAAAAAATGTATCAATTAACATGGGACGGAGAGAGTATATTTTTTATTTATATTATATAAAATTTTATTATTTATAAACTAAAAATATTCATATTATATATATTTTATTGAAATATATTTTTTACATTTTAATTTTTTTTGAATTATATATATATTATCTTATAAATTAAATTTCAATTATATTGAATTTTGCCCTTTAATTGAATTGAATTGAAAATTTTTCCTCTTGTTTATTTTCTCGTAAAAATGATAAGTCCCTCCTTCAATTTTTTCTCTCTTAAAAACAATGAAAACTAGAGTAACAAATTGGGAATATAACTCCCAACTTCTTTTTGAGTTAAAATGAATTGTTGACCTCCTGAATATAGGAGTAATATAAACCAGACAAATTATTATAATTTAAAATCTTTATTATATAAAATATAACACAAATACATCAAAACACAAGTTTTGAAAATTTTGAAAAATAAAAGTACAAATTTAATTATTTAATG